TACATATTACCCAGGCCTATTACAAACCATCTGCTAAATCCCCTGCAGTTTTTAACCATCTGCTAAATCCCCTGCAGTACAGAGCAAAGAGGTCTGTTGATGATGCAATCAACTTGGCTGTGCACTTCGTGCACTTCATTCAGTCCAGGAACCTATGCTAGAGTTCAACACCATAGTGCCAGAACTTCCTGACAAACCGGAGACAGCAGGTGTGGCTAGGAAAACACTCAGCAGACCACAGGACCCTCAGTACTGGTGTAGCAGAAGGTTGTGTGCTCTCAACCCTTGTCTTCAGTCTCTATTACTGTGTCTCTAAGAAACCAGCTATGAAGATCCTGAAGTTTGCACAATCTGTGGTTGGCCTCCTAGCCAACTGGGAGTCTGCCTACAGAAGGTAAGTTGAGCAGCAGCAATCACCTGCTGCTCAAGACTGTAGAGATGTAGTGGTGGACTTCCCTACACTCCCTCAATACCAATGGCTTTATGGTTTCCACTGAGGAGTCAATCAAGTTTCTGGGCAACACCATATCCAGGTATGTAAGTGGGAGTGGAACAAGGTCTCCATAGCAAGAGAAGCACAGCAGAGAATGTTCTTCCTGAGATAGCTGAAGAAATTCAATCTGCCGCAAAGCCTGATCCAGTTCTACACAGAGATCATCATCCATATCATCCATAACCACCTGGCTTGGTTCCTCCACCTCAGAAGAACGGTCTAAACGCCAGCGCATTATCTACACGGTGGAGAGGATAATTGGATGTAGTCTGCCAACTCATCAGGACATCTACAACAGCAACAACACAACTGTACAGATGTTAATTTTTTGCAAATATTTTAATTATTCAGTAATATTCTATATATAATAGTTTTTATAATATATGTCTATTTAGACCTGCATATGTATAGATATTTTTATCTACATATGTACAGATATTCACACATCTTTTTAGATCCTCTATATGGCTCTTTAATATTCTTGATTCTAATTATTTTATTTCTTTTTTAATTTTCCCCTTTATTTTCCCCTAACAGTCTGTTTGCTTGTCTGGTCTTTTTACAACCCTAATTCTAAAAAAGTTGGGACGCTGTGTAAAATGTAAATAAATGTTTATTGTTTATTCACAATAGAACATAGAATACAGATCAGATGTTGTGCCTTGTGATATTCGGGCCCTTAGGCGGCACTGCATTAAAAACAGGCATGATTCTGCACAGGAAATCACTGCATGGGCTTAGGAACACTTGCAGAAATCATTGTCTGTAAACACAGTTCACTGTGCAATCCACAAATGCAAGTTAAAGCTGTATCATGCAAAGAAGAAGCCATATGTTAACACGATGCAGAAACACCGCTGTCTTCTCTGGGCCAAAGCTCATTTAAAGTGGACTGAGGCAAAATGGAAACCTGTTCTGTGGCCAGATAAATAAAATATTTTAAATGCTTTTTGGAAACCACGGGTGCCACGTCCTGCGGACTCAAGAGGAGCCATCTCTGATGGTATGGGGTTGCATTAATGTCTGTGTCATGGGCAGCTTACACATCTGGAAAGGCACTATCAATGCTGAAAAGTATATAGAGGTTTTAGAGCAACATATGCTCCCATCCAGGCAATGTCTCTTTCAGGGAAGGCCTTGCATATTTCAGCAAGACAATGCTAAACCACATACTGCATCCATCACAACAGCCTGGCTTTTGCAGAAGAACAGTCCGGGTGCAGAACTAGCCTGCCTGAAGTCCTTTTCTTCACTTATAGAAAACATCTGGCACATCATGAAACGAAAAATCCGGCAAAGAAGACCCAGGACTATTGAGCAGCTAGAATTCTACATCAGACAAGCATGGCACAACATTCCTCTCCCAAAACTCCAGCAATTGGTCTCCTCACTTCCCAAATGTTTTCAGACTGTTGTTAAAAGAAGAGGGGATGCTACACAATGGTAGACATGGCCCTGTCCCAACTTTTTTGAGATGTGTTGCTGCCATCAAGTTCTAAATGAGTTAATATTTTTCATGAAATAGTAAAATGTCTCACATCTGATCTGCTCTCTATTCTATTGTGAATAAAATATGGCTCTATGAGATTTGCAAATCATTGCATTGTGTTTTTATTTACATTTATTTACATTTTACACAGCATCCCAGCTGGAGTTGTAGTATGTTACATGTCATGCATGTATTCACTCACCAAAACAAATTCCTTGTATATGTGACATATTTGGCGAAATAAAGTGACTGATTCTGATTCTAATTTTCATGGTTTATGCCACACATACTCCCACTTTTGGAGAATATGTTGAAGGATGGATCATTTGACCATATCACTTTTTCCACATCTCTGTAGACCACTGTCAATGCTTTTGGCACTGCACTTGTTTTTGTAATGCCCTACTATAATAACCTCTCTATGTAGTTGTGGACAGACTGTTCACACAATCTGATCATGTCCTGTATTGACATTCTTAGTTACCTGAGGAACAGTTGCTCTTCTGTTTTTCCAAACATACCACATGAATGCATGAGCATCACACTCATTAAATGGATGTTTTTGACCACAATTTCCAGGCCTGTTTACTGATGTCTTTCCGATAGATCTAAATGCAGATGTCACTTTTAGTCACTTTTCCTGTTGAAATGCTAGCCATTTGATTAGTCTTTGTAACTGACGCTCCTGCACTAATAACAAACCCTCATTCAAAGTCACTTAAATCCTTTCTTCTTAGCATCTTGATCAAAAATTGAGGTCAACTGGACCTGCTTAGCATTTTTATAGCTGCAGAGCATAGTAGGATATTAATTTTCTCCCCGATTTACTCATTCCATGCAACTAGGTCTCGATGCTACCAAGCTGGGAGGGTGAAGGCTAGCACATGCTTTATTGGAAACACGTGAAGCCACCACATCTTTTTGAACTGACACTATGCAGCCATAGAACACTGACTGACAATTGTGTTACATCAGCTAACAGATGCCCATTTTGGCTAGTATTGGACTGAGTAATAGGAGGAGAAGAAGGACCATCCTGCCGACCCAGAGAGTGAGATGCCAAGTATGCCATGGATGGCTGTGGCATCTCTTGGGACCTAACTTGTGATCTCTGGACACTTAGTCAGTTGCACCACTCTATAAATTGATTAATTGTGTCTTGCAATACTCCTGTTTGCATCTGCACTTGTTATGTTTCTCCACTCATTTACTCTGTTAATCCTTTCATTTGTCACAATCTGTTGGAATGCAGAGTAGAAGCCTGGACCCACTAGCAGCCCATTTATAACTGAATAAAGAATTTAAATGCATGTGCATGTGTGTGTTTTAGGTGCCAGATGTAGTGGACATTGGGTCATTTGCCCTGAAGAAGTGGATCCTCCAGATGCTGCTGGATTTAGTTCACTGGTCCAGCCAAACTTCAGAAACTCTGAAGTCGCTGTTGGTGGAGACAGAGAAAACACAGAGAAGGACAAGGAGAGCGGCAAACAGACACAGGGGGAGACTGAGGAAATGAATGTCTTTGTAAAAAGTGTGTTTGTGTGTATATCTGTGTGTGAGAGAGAGCGAGAGCGAGAGAGAGAAAGAAAGCGAAAAAGAGTGGGAAATAGAGAGGGGGTCACAGAAAAATGTTGAAAGGTGTCCTTGCAAAGTGGAATAATAAGCACCAGGTTAAAAAAAATAACAAGAAAGAGAATGAGGACTGCAAAGAGAAAATAATTTAAAATCATGGAAAATGATGGCATTCTGACAATGACAGAATATACCATGTCCAGAATTATCGGCACCATTGGTACATATGAGCAAAAAAGGCTACAAAACAACCTATAGAATTGCCTACAGAAAAAGCTACAGAATAGGCCATAGAATTGTTGTTATCCTGAGGTCATTCCCTCATCCAAAATCTCTCCAGATCCTTTACAGTTTTTGGTCCTCACTTGTGGACTCTCCTCTTTGGCTCAAGTCAAGAGATTACCACTGCAAAAGCTTTATACTATAGTCAATAAATCAGGTCTAGACCATTGTCCTGCTGGAAAGTGTTACCATGACTCCGTCTGAACTCTATACTACACCAGAAGAAAGTACATTTTGGTCAGAGGTTCCAGTTTAGTCCAGTGAAGGAAATGTAGAAAATGTACTGCAGCCTGCTAAAGGCTACCACACGCCAGATTAGAAACACCAAGCTCAAGCTCATTTTACACTCTTCTTTTAGTGGATTAATCACATTTGGTATCAGCCAGTTAACTCTTGGTATGCTAAAATTATGAAGTGAAATAACTTACAGTGTACAGTGTACAATCTGTACATCTCACAGACTCTGGTTGTCTTTCTCTGAGTAACTTTTGAGCTACGTCATCTGCTGTGGCTTTGTGTAGTTTGGTTTGGGATTTAATTTGAAGAGAGATGCCAAGCTTAGAGGTATTGAGCAGTGCTAGAACTCGCTGACTGGTGCTGCATGTCAATGCCAAACATTGCTGTAGTTGTTACACCTTAATTACAAGCAATGACTCTGAAACACCTACTTGGTTATTTTGCGATTTTTTTTTTTTTTAAATAATGCTATAGGTTTATTTGATGGAGTCCAAGCATCCTAACAAGACTCCTGGGGCATTCAGAGTATTTTCTATTTCTCAGATTTTCAGTGTAGCATCAAGCTGCTAAACAACTGTTTTAATATTTTTAATTGCTCATAATTACCAAATGCGGTAATAACAATGGAGGACACTGTATTTATGTGACTGGCATTGTCTTTTACCCTAAACATGAGGAATGTTTCAGTGCATTATCCTGTGTTTGACTATTACATGTACTAAAAGTGAGCTTTATATCAACCATTAAATCAACCATTTCGAAAGCAGCTGGCAAACATGTCAACAATACAGTGAAAACAGTCTGCTAACATGACATTACAGATATACCTGACACACTAAAGGTCATAAGTTTTATTTATAAAGTACTTTATTTATGTTTAAATATAATTTCTGTTATATAAAAATTGATATTATTATTATTATTATTATTATTATTATTATTATTATTATTTCAGATAATAAACTTCTTTTATGTAGGTTTATTCAAAGGGTATGCATAATAAAAGTATATTATAACTATTGTAGTGTAAACAGTTCAGCATTCCAGTTCGAAAGATCAGCAGTCTGACTAAAGGTTTAAATAGTACTATTGGTGTCCATTTAAGTAAGGATCAGCGTACAAACAAAGGTTTCATGTACAAACAGGATTTATTGTACTTATATGGAACTGGTACAAGGGTATGAGTACTGGTACTTTATTAAAAATCCTTCTCTTGTAGCTCCACCCTGCTGATGTACAGATAGAGACCGTAGTCTATCTGTTGATGCATCAGTGATCAGTTTCTATGCACTTCATAGATGTTCAGTTTCTTACCACAGAGCCACTCTTGACTGGATATTTTTGGGTGGACTATTCTCAACCTAGCTTTGACCTGTGCCTGATGCACTCGTATCAGCACCATACCCACTACCATGTCAGCATTTACAGCTGTGCTGCGAAGTATCCACTACCTGGTAATATCTGGTCAGTGGTTGTCCTGTGGTGATTCATTGATGTACAGTGTTGCATAGCAACAGATGTGCCACGGTCTGTAATTGTACAGCTGTGCACCTATATGGTAGGTGTTCCTGATAAAATGGTCACACAGTAGATGTTCCTAATAAACTGGAAAATCAGTGTATGTTCTTGTCACTGTTAGAGATTTTTAATAGTTTAAATGAATTCTCTTTCAGATCTGCCATAGTTAGTGCTTCCCTCTGCTGGTTAGTAAAGAAACTGGCACTTTGTTGTGGAGGTCATCTTGGCTCAGGTCATCTAGCGACACAGACAAAAAAGTGCTGTGTTTTTAAACACTATCATCTCTAAACACCATCATTCTTAGATAGATCAGAATGGGTTCCCTTGTCTTTAGTATCTACTGTATCAACATGAGACTGTGCACACTGGTTTTATTTTGATGTGACTTTATTTTGATGATGTGCAGAAGATGTGGAGGAGAGCAGAAGTTAGGAGTTTTTACCTGTTCATGCACCACTTGTCAGCCTGGTGGCTTTGTTTCCAAATGGCGTGTTTGTTTAAAACATAGGGGGGCTTTACTAATGTATTATTAGTGTGTAAGTTCTGGATTTGCAGGGAAATAAGTTGTATCTGAGCTGTCACTCAAAACAGACTCAATTCAGTATCTCACCTTTGTCTTTGTGTGTGTGTCTGTGTGTGTGTGTGTGTGTGTGTGTGTGTGTGCTCATTCTACTGTGATAAAGAAAAAGCAGGATGTGTGTTTGGAAGAGTGGGGGTGGTGTGTGTGTTTGCAATGAGTGTGTGTGTTTGTGTGTCTGTGTAGTATATGTGTGTGTGTTAGAGGAGTGGCAGGATGCCTGTAAAAGAGGGGGAGGGGTGCGTGTGTGTGTGCGTGTGTGGTGTGTGTTTGTGTGTGTGTGTGTGCATGCGCAACTGAGTTAGAGGGAGAGAGAAAAAAGAGAATGTGTGTGTGTGAGGCAGGATATGTGTGTGTGTGTGTGAGAGTGAGACAGAGAATTGTAGGGGGAGGGGTGTGTGTTAAAGCTGTGTATGTGTGTGTGTGTGTGTGTATTAGCTGAGAGAGAGGGAATGTGTGTGTGCGCCTGCGTAGGAGGGAGAATCTGTGTGAGAGTCAGATAGTGTGTGTGTGTGTGTGCGCGAGTGTGTGTTAATTACACGCACACGCCTTTGTGAGTTCTACAGTGTGTATGCGTTTGCTTTGTAAGACAATTATTTCATTACTTTACTATTTTCTGTGCCTAAACATAATGTGATTTAGAACTCTGTTATGTGTGTTTGTTTCTCTTTAATAGATGTGTTTTTTAATAGGTGAAAAGTAAATATTAACAATCTATGTAGAAGTGAGTGTGTGTATCTGTGCATGTGTGTGTGCACACGTCACATGCTTCTAAGTTTGTGAGCATGCATGTTGAGCATGATGAGTTTCTGAGTGTGTGCATGTCAGTGTGTGTGTGTGTGAGAGAGAGTGGGGGAAGGGTGTGTTTAGATGTGTGCATCAGAGGTTTGTGTGTATGTGGATAAAGAATTCAGTGTCTTTATATTTTAACAGGCAGAACAGATTTTATGCTTATTTGAATTATTATTAATATCATTATTATTATTATTAGTAGTAGTAGTAGTAGTAGTAGTAGTAACAGTAGTAGTAATAGCAGTAGTAGTAGTAGTTTACTATGATATGGATTGTCTGTTTATTATATTTCACTTGGTTCTGTTGAAATACTGATTTAAATTAACTATATGTATATGTCTCAAAATTAGGATATTGAACACCATCATCATCATCATCGTTATGCCAGTGCCACACACTGTCCAGTGCTGCAAAGGGCACCACCCTCATCGCCTTCACAGAGACTTTTTAACACTTTTTCCTTAAATTCTCTTCCAAAAGCAGATTATCACTATTAAATCGCTTAAATCGCTTTTAATTGTTGAATAACTTGCTTTCAGCAGCTTATGCGCTGTAATCAACTTTGCTTGGAAACAGAAACAACCGCTCCGCCCCCTTTTATACTGTAGCGGGCGTGACCATTCACGGGGAAGCGGTGCAAGGGTCATCGTGTGTCAATAAAACTATAGTTGTCCTCAAACTAAAACACTCATTTAGTTTTGCTTTCATATATTTTATTATTATTAAAGTCTTTTTTTATTAGGAACATGTATTGTTTGACTTTTTCAAATATGTTGAATAGAAGAACAAGCAGACCTCTCCCCTTAGGAGAAGCTTCTTGGTAGTGGCGGAAATAACCTGCGCTTATACAGCGGCGAAGCGGAGTGGAATCGTGAAGCGAGCGCTGCGGAGGGCTGAGTAACTGGCCAGAAAATAACAATAAATGACGGAGATCGTCCGTACGCTGTTCGACTACCGAGAGCCTCCGACGCTGGATAGCGACGGAAAGGGCGGCAAACCGCCGCCGCCACGAGGGTGAGAGAACCAGCTATAACGAAAAACACTAGTCGGCAAAACTTAACCAGCTAAATGTTAGTTAACCCTAGCTAACTCAGTTAGCTTTGCTCACCAAGCTTCAGTTGGGGTTCAAACTTCACAGCGCGTGCGGACAGTTAGCTACAATATAGCTATACAATATAACGGTTGTAGCAGTCAACTTTTTCTCTTCTGTGAGGAAAATGAAAAGTTTTGTAGTTTTAATGTTATTCTGCATTTATTATTATTCCTGTCACCATTATCATTATTATTGTTGTTGTTATTACTATTACTTGTCTGTCACCACCATCGCGTTGTTTGAAGAACTCGTTACTGTATTAGGTACTTTGACAAGCGTGTTGTGCTGGCGATGAGTTGTCATTTATTTTAGCTTTTAAAAATCGGAAAAAAATCAGCTACGTGTGTGTGGTGTGTGTGTGTGTGAAAGACTGACTGGTCAAACATGCGGGCTTTTTATCTCTTTAACTAAATGTCAGTTTACTTCAAGAGGCAAACAGTAATTTATGATAAACATTGTCAAACTTAAATTATAGAAGACAGTTTAAAATGATCATTATAGTATCTGTGTGTATAAAAGAGAAGAGAGAAAGACTGACTGAGAGAAAGAAACAAGTACTCTGTGCGTGTGTTGTGTGTGTGCGCGTGCGCTTCTGTGTGTGTGTTAGTGGTGTGCAGAAGGGAGGGAGGGCGGGGAGAGTGAGTGTATGCGTGACAAAGACAGTAAGTGTGTGTGTGAGAGAGAGAGAGAGGGAGGGGAATGTGCTGTGTGGAGAGACAGTGTGTGGTAGTGAGAGTATGTGTGTGAGAGAAAAAGACAGAAAGGAGAGATGTGTGTGAGAGAGAGAGGCTGGGAGGAGGTGATGTGTGTGAGAGTGGATAGGAGGGAACATTATAGTGTGTGTGTGTGTGTGTGTGAGAGAGAGAGAGTGAGAGAGGGGAGGGTTGTGTGAGCTTGTGTAAAAGAGAGGAGGGGTTGTATGTGTGTATGTATGAGTGAGAGAGTAACAGTGTGTGTGTGTGTGTGTGTGTGTGTGTGTGTGTGTGTGTGCTACATCCCATGTGAGCATACTCCATGTGTGTGTGTTTTAATGAGAATGAAAGTGCATGTGCACGCTCATGTGTGTATATTAAAGGTGGGTGAGGGTATGTTACTGAACAAAAGATTAAATACGTGAAGGATACTGATTTGTGTGTGTGTGTGTGCATGTGTGCATATGTGTGTGTTACTGATTGGGGGAGGGAGTGTTTGTTTATATGTGTGGTTGGTGGGGGTGGAACAGGAGAGTGTGCGTGGGGTGGGCATATGTTTGTGTATTTATACGTAACCAATAGAAGAGTACAATGTGTAGGTTAAGTATAATGCAATGGGGGAGGACTGAATGTTAGTGTGTGTGTGTGTATTTGTTTATGTGTGACTAAGAGAAAGCTGGATGAACAGGTAGTGTGTGTGTGTGTATGTATGTGTGTGTCTGATTAATAGACTCTGCTTGTGTTCTCATATATTGGGGTAAAAATGGCCCTAACTTTTTATAATACTTCTTACAGAAGCTCCACATTTTATTTTTTAAAGCTTAGAAAGTTCACTCAGTTAAACTCAGTGTTCTGGTGCACATTTTCTTCTTTTCTGTCTATTTCCTTTCCTCAGTAATGGCTTGTTCACAGCTCCACATCCTTTCAGGTACAGTTTTAGTGATCTATCAGGTCTTGCACATTTGTCAGAAGATCTATTTTCTCCATATTTTAATAATTTTTTGGAAACTTCTAACTTATTTTCATTTGACTTTCCTCATATGACGTGACATGTTTGGGAAACTTTTGTAGGGAGGACTCATGTATAACTCATTGGTTTTAAGATTGGAAGGATGAAAAAGGTAAAGTGTCAGTAAGGTGCAAAAAAGTATAGACAAAGTACATACTGATGGATTCGATATTGTACTTAGTCTTGGAGGTTTTGTGTAATTTTCTGTTAAATACACACTAAAAAATGATGGTTTTCCAAGGGTTGTTTAGTAAAGAAAATGGTTCTATATAGAACCATGAACACTCAAAGAACTCTTTGCATGATTAAAGGGTTTTTTGCATCATGAAAGGGTTCTTTAGATTGATGGAGAATGTGTTGTATAAGATTCTATATAGATATATAGAAGCCTTTTTTGAAAAGGGTTCTATATAGCACCAAAAAGGGTTCTTCTATTATTATAAGCTTGACATCGTAACAATACAAGAACGCTTTTTGGTGCTATATAGAACCCTTTTCAAAAAGGTTCTACATAGAACCTTCTACAGCACATTCTGTCTGAAATCGGAAAAACCCTTTCACCATGCGAAGAACGCTTTAATCATGCAAAGGGTTCTTTGAGTGTTCATGGTTCTATATAAAACTATTTTCTTTACTAAAGAACCATTGAAGAACCATCTTTTTTAAGTGTGTATGTTTCCTGCTTTTTTTCTGGAAACTAACTGGAAATTGAATAAACGAATGGGTAGTCCCTGACTTTTGCACAGCACTGTATATAGTGCATAGAGATGGCACAATACCACTTTTTTTTCCAGTACCAGTGTTAAAACTTTGATTGGCCATTACTTATTTGATTTTCTCTTTAGAAACTACTAAGCTTTTAATTGAAACAATTTACTTAAGATCAGCATCGCAAGAGAAAACTCAAACACTCTACTACAGTGTCCGAACTGCTGACATCTGGTTCACACGGGTACTAACGTCTTTCCAAATATATGTTGGGCTGGTGTCAGGTTAAAATTTCACACTGGGGTTCAAACAGCCCACCTCCCCCTTTTAACCGATTTACCCTGCATTTCTGTCTGCTTTTGTTTTATTCCTTACATTCCTTACCTTTAGTCTGGCATGCTGGAGTCACCCACTTGTGTTGTTGGCAGTAAATGTAAGGTGGCAATAGATTTAAGGTATCAGTAAATTTAAGGTGGCGGTGGATTTAAAGTGGCAGTGGATTTAAGGTAGCAACAAATTTAAGGTGGAGTGGATTTAAGGAATCAGTGTATTTAATAGCATAGCAACCACTTAGCAACACCTTAGCAACAACCTGAGACACCAAAAGCAATCGCCTAGCAACACCTTACCAACCACATTGGATACCATAGCAACCGCCTAGCAACATCTAAGCAACATTTTAGCAACCATCAACAGTCCTCCACCGTTTTAACGTTTTAACGTAATTAGCTGGGTTATTCAAGCCAACTTAAAGTTTGTTAATGAACTTTCCCTTTCTAGTTATACGCATAACATTTTATATTTTTTACAACTCCATTTCCAAATAATTTGGGATGCTGTGCAAAATGTAAATAAAAACAAAATGCAATCATGTGCAAATCATTTAAACCCTATATTTCATCAAAAATAGTACAAAGACAACATATCAAAAGTTGAAACTAAGACTTTTTTTTTTAAATATATGCCCATTTTGAATTTGATGCTAACAACACGTTCCAAAATAGTTGGGAGGGGGGCAACAAAAGGCTGGTAAAGTTGTGTAATGCTAAAAAAAACACCTGGTCCTTGATTGACAACAGGTCAGTAACATAATAGGGTACAAAAAAGCATCCCAGAGAGGATGAGTCTTTTAGAAGTAAAGATGGGGAGGGGTTTATCACTGCATGGGCTCAGGAACACTTCTGAAAACCACTGTCTGTAAAAAACAGTACGTCGCTGCATCCACAGATGCAGGTTAAAACTCTAAAACACAAAGAAGAAACCATATACAAACAGGATCCTGAAATGCCGCTGCCTTCTCTGTGCCCAAGCTCTTTTAAAACGGACTGAGGGGAAGTGGAGAAGTGTCCTGTGGTGAAATTCTTTTTGGCATCAAATTTAAAATGGGCGTATACAGGGTGTCCCTAAAAAATTTACATCATTTGAGATGTGAATATCTGAGTAACTACATGTCCTAGGCAAGCGCATTTAAATAGGCTTCATGTTGAACAATGCAAGATTTATTTATCAAAATTCGAACAAGAATTTTCCTCTTTGAATTTTTTGTGCCATGTCCAAATCTGCTTTCCAGTTGGTGCATTTTTATTGAATTCTCTCAAAAATGCACGCTTCACATTCTTGTTTGACTGTGTTCAAGCATATTTTAACACACAAAATGCCTTTTCATTTCTAGTGAACACCATTCTTCAACCTGAAAAAAAAAACATTTAAAATTAAACTTGGTTAGTTTTTACACATTTTGTTGAAATTAGAGATCATTTGAGGGAGAATTGGAGAATTTTTCCCAGTAAAAATATTGTTTACATGATTTGCATATCATTGCATTCTATTTTTATTTACATTGTGCACAGCACCCCCAACATTTTTGGAAATGGGGTTGTACATTTTATTTATCTGTTATCTAATGATGGCTATTATTGTCACTGCATGTTAACGTGTCAAGTATTATTTGGCACTTTGGGTAATGGTGGGTCAGTTCAGGTCAGTCTAAGACAGAATTTTGTTGGACTAGACTCAAAACTTGATGATGTGGTTAGGTTAGGTTGGGTTTTGACAGAATTTTTTCAAGTCGGGTTGGGCCAAAATATTAGGCCTGATTCAACCTCTACATTCTACTACCCTTTTTGTAACAGGATTGGATCAGATTCATCCTTTTTGGATGATCATTTATTAGTCCGATACTAATACCCATTGATGCTGATATGCTATCACTAATAGTACATATTATGAAACGGATAGTTCCTACAATCTGGTTGGCTGAGCCGTGTTCGAAGCTGTTGTCAAATCCACGATATACCACAGCTATGACTGCCTCACAGCAATTGAGCTCTGTGTTACTGCGCCATGGCACGAAAAACCCTTCTGCTGTTAATGAATTAATTTTTTACTCTAATGCTGATCGCACTGTGTACTGATGAAGTAAGAACCCGGTTTTGTTTAAACTGAGGGGCTGAAAACTTGAACTAGGCTGGTCAGCTAGCCAACAGGCTAAAAGATAGCAAACATGTTGAAC